TTACCCCAAACAGTGACTAGAGACCGTGCAGTGACTGATCAGACGGACACAAACATGGACAGATCGGACTTATCACCATGTCTACCCACACTAGATTTGAAGCACACAAAGCGTTCTAATGAGCTCGTATCTCAAACGAATAAAGAGTTTGCGTTGACAAACCAGACAGACACTAAGGCGAGAGAGTCGTACAACTACCAGACATCTCAGTCGGAATCATCGCCATGTCTACCCACACTAGATGAGAGGAACTCATCATTTTGTGCTACTGGAGTGACCCGCGGTCATAATTCTTACCCAACAAACACGGAAAAGTCGAACACGTGCCATCAACAAACCAAATTAGCGCCGTCTCTACCCACACTCACACAAGATGGGACAAAAACATCCTTTGGTGCTTCTACTTTTCGAGCGACCCACAGTAGTAATTCTGACCCGACAAACACAAACACGGAAAAGTCGAACACGTACCATCATCATACCAAATTGGCGCCGTCTGTACCCACACACACACAAGATCATCCTGTAGATGAAACAAAAATGGCTCTCTGCCCTCCTCGAGCTACTCAGGGTGATAATAACAATAGTCCTGATCTGACCGACTCCCAGCTGTGCGAGGTCTCCGCTGACGTGACCTTTGAGTACGAGTTTGACGCCGCCCAGACCAAGGCCCGTGCCGAGGTGAGCAAGAGGAAGACAGAGGGGGAGAAGCTCGTGCAGACGATACTCCGAGAGCTCCAGTCCATCAACAGGCAGGTTCTCAGGATGAAGAGAGAGATAGAAACTGCCAAGCGGAAGATGGTAGCCTCCAAATGGCAGGCCAAGTGAATCAAATTTTGTTGAGTTTTCAGATTTCGTTCCTTTTTTAATGTAATGTATTGTGTTACATTTAACGTTTAAGAAAAATTTACTTGTTCGTTGTACATTCACAGGTATCTCGTTGAAAGATTGGTTGAGATAGTGACATTGTACTTGTACGGTCTCAATACGTTAATAAATCTTTGTCACAGTCACAGGCAATGGTAGACATTTGTTTGGTTTCCAGTAAGAATGTTACAGTTTAGTTTCATAAGAATGTTTCTGCCTTTGGTTTTTGGGGGGGGTTTTGAGTAAAGAGAAGCACATCGACACAATAATAGTCATTTAATTTAGTACTAGGGTCAAGTGAGAAACAGACAGAAATAACAGAGAAAGAAAGATAGATCTAGATCTAGTAAAGTACTGTAAAGAAGTATGGCCTACCAGTGGCGCTCACTAACCACCTGCAAAAAGTAGGACAGACAGATAGAAACGACCGATGGAAAGTAGAGAAGTAGAACCTACCAGAGGTGCCCTCCAACCACCCACTTACAGCTCTTGCAACACAATTAGGTCATAAAATGTCGAGCATTTAAAGGTGTTACACGCACTAGAGAGTAACAATAGTAACATGCGAAGAGAAGGAGGAGAAGAGATAAGAACGATAGATTCTGGATGTAGTTTGATAAGAAAGAAGGCGCATAAATCTCACCACAAAACCCGGTGATGTTTGAGCTTGTAATTCCTGACAAGTTTATTTCTTACTTGGTGGCGTCCGTGGTTTAGTGATTTGGCTCTCAGACACGCAACCGTAAGGTCGTGGGTTCGAGTCCCGTCAGGGGTTCTTGGGAAAGGCACTTAACACGAATTTTCTTCACTTCACCCAGATGGGAATGGGTACTCAGCTATTGTCAGTGAAAGAACTTGTCAGTTTGTTAGTGTTTGGGCGTTAATCAGCTCCTTGCAATGTACGCTTCAACTTCCCGGGAAGCTGAGAATGTCTCTGGGTATTCTATGATCTGCTGGGGTAATACTATTAGATCTATACTGCACTGTAAAGCGCATAGAACTTGCTGTCGAGCAGGGATATGTGCTATACAAATGCTATTTATTATATGTGAGGAAGCGTGGTGGAATCAGGCTCTCGTCAAAATAATCAAAGTGAAGAAACTTGCATTTTCCCGCAGGTTTGTAAATTTTTATCAATTTTTTGTTTTTTTGGCTCAACACCTTTCATGCCCATTAAAGAACTCATTTCTGTGTCGATTTTTCAGAAAAGCTTTGACTAAAGGCACAAAAATGTAAATTTTCAGTAAAAACGGACTCTTAAGCTAAGGAGATAGCTAATCTTTGTCAGCAATTTTCTCTCTAATTTTACCTCTGAAAACAAGTGACCCCCTCCTCCTTCTTTCGCTAATATCACGACTTGTATTCAAGATAAATGGATAATTTTTTTCATCCAAATCAAGACAAGTGAACAAGCTTTACAATGATACCAATAACTTAACAAGCACAAAAATTTGACGAGAGCCTGTTTCCACCACGCTGCCTCACATATTATTTGTATGTATAGGTGGGTGGACGGCCTGTGTAACAACACCGTTGCCAGTGTAAACGATCAGGACAAATTTCTCTCTGTGAGATGAACAACGACTGTCGGTGTCACTTACTTCAAGTACAGTCCAACTTCCTCTAACGACCACATGTCCAAGATATTCACCTGTACAAAAGACCACGTCACACTCCACCCCACCTCCTGCAGGTTTTTTTTTTTCTTGTAAATACGATGACACTGTCTAAGACAACTACTTTCCTCATCGGCCTTGGATAGGTTCAACTGTACAGTACAGTCGAACCAGCTCTAGTGACTACCTGTCCAAGACAATCACCTGTACGAACGACCACTTCCCACTTCCTCTCCCTTGTGTCTTTTCTTCTTTTATAGTGACACTGTACAAGAGGACAACTTGTCTGAGATGACTTCTTTTTTTATTATATGTGAGGCGAGCTGACAAAATGAGATACTTCTCGACATCCACAAATGGAGACATTGGCCAAAAATTGACATAAGGGTCAAATTTGTAGATTTTCTATCGAAGCCATATTCTTTAAATATTACATACCTCTTATTTCAAGCTTATAAATTATAAAAACTTCACCTATACTATAAGTGTGATGTATGTATTCATTTAAGGCCTGAATCCGAGAAGTAACTCATTTTGTCAGCACGAGTCACATATACTATCACTCCCACACCCAGATGCACCAATTTTTTAAGATAGGAGGATGTGGTTTCAAATCAGTTTACAAACAGGAATTCTTTCCCCCTTGGTCAGCAGACTATCCAGCGACCGGATGCACAAAAATCTGGCTGTGCCTGGTATATTTGCGGCCGGACGGCATTCTGCAAGACCTGCTATTGTTAAAATTTCGGTTAATAAACTTATTGAAAATTGCATCCCATCTTTAAAATAGTGGAATCCTGTTATAACGAGAGGGAGGGGACCGGTGCGAAATGTTCGTTATACCAGGATTCTCGTTATAAGGGATCCAGTAATAAATTTAAGGGAAATTTATAAAGAAAGCCTAATCTGTGAGTTTGGCGTTCTGTTTAGTTCTTTTTGTTTATCGCCCAGGATGATGATTTTGTTCAAGATGACCTCTTGTTCTTACTTGATCAAAAATCGAATCATGTTTCTTTCTCAGTGCTAGCTATGTTGACAGATCGACGTTGGCGATCAGAAAGAAAGGGCTCTTGGCTGACTCGCCCGCTGTGTTGTCCCCCACCCCACCACACCCTGTGATGCATTGCGTCTGCTTGCGCACGTCACACATTCGCATCTAGTAGTCTAGACTAGGCTGGCCTTTCACACGATGCGTTCTGCTTGTCTGCGCAGGCCACACCTTCCCCACTCATTCACTTCGGCCTTCATTGTTGGCACACATAGACCCTCCCATTCTTTGTTTCGCTCAACGAGTTGTAAGGTCCTTGGTTTTACTAGATCACCAACAACTTTCTCAACTGGCGAGGTTTTATGTATAACTGGTCTATGCGCTGCGCACAGCAGCAGCAATATTCCGCTATATAAGTACTATAACCGCTATAAGTAGGCCTACTATAACCTACTCGTGTGTTTGTCTGATTGCGCTACAGCAGTATTTTATTTACAAAGATAAAGAAGGGTGGAAAACGGGGTTTAAGAAGAGTGTCTTTATAACAGACTTCTCGTGATTTCAGGACTTGTTATAAGTGGACTTCAGTGTATAAAATTCGGAAGCAGCATTTTAAAATTAACAAAATGACTCTCGACCGACTCTTATTCTTACAGGATTTCAAAGATCACACACATATACAAAAAGAAGTGCAAGACTGCATTATGTAGTGTAGGATTTTCTCATCACAAAGAGGACGGACAACTGCTGTCATGTGCAGAAGACATGAGTTCGATTCCCCCTTGTGGGGAGATTTCTATAGAGCATCTTTGTCTGTCTGCCGGAGTTGTGTTTACCTTTCAGCCCGGTTGGCATGATGAGCAGAGTCGAAATAAACGCATCGCCTTCTAAGTGATCTAAAAATGTGTTGATTCGGGGCAAAAAAACACAAACAATAATTACAGCTGATATAATTGCACATTCTAGGTTCATCAGCGCCTTTGCATTACACCTATATTGGTCCCGAAGAGTTGGAAAAAATCTTAATTATAATAATTGTTAGATTAGATGGATAGTCATTCATAAGACAAAAGAAAACCCCAAACAAAAAAACAAAACATAAATAAGTAAAACCAAGGAAGAAAAAAACAACGGCCCCAACTATCACTATCAACCTCCATTTAATAAATTATGAAAATACTGATAATGAGAATTTATATAGTGCTCTAATCACTAGAAGGCTTTAGGTGTTGTATGAAGCAGAATTTTCACTCAACTGATGAGCCAAAGGACAGAAAAGGACAGAAAATGCACATTGGGAGATAATTTAATAACACATGTGCGCACACAAAAAATTCCCAGACCCAAACACACATTCTCACATTAAAAATTCACTGGGTAGAGGATAGCGTTGAACAAATGTGAGGATCTATTTTAAATATTCTTACTTAAACACCCTCAAAAAAAAATCTCCACACATAAAAAAAACAACAGACAATAAATCTTCATCATGAAATCATGATAAATGAACAAACAAACGATAAACGATAAATCTTCCTCATGATGATAGATTTAATGTGATGATTTATACATGATCTATATACAAGTATACAAGTAGAGCATGGTGACCTCCATTGGAATGTTCTCATGCCAGGTCAAAGTCGTCTCTCTGAAGAAAGAAAAAAGAAATGAGAAAAATGTCAACATAAAATGAAAGTAGGGCCTAATGAATAACGGTGAGAACTACAGGCAAAATTGTCGACTCTAAGATGGCCTCCCATTGTAGAGGAGGAAAGCTGCCGTTTTAGATTTAGATGTTTTAGATGGACGTCCTACAGTGTCATTATTATGTTTTTTAAAAATAAATAAAAAGATCTAGGGGGAAATGGAAACTGGTCAACTGAACAGGTCATTGGTTGTCTTTTATTGGCGGCAGTCACAGCAGGTTCAGCTAAATTATCATGGCAGCAATAGCAACAGAACAACCCCAAAACCAAAACATTGACATCTGGTGGTATGTTTAAATTGACTGAAATACATATTGCAGCTGGTCTTCTTTGAATAGCTTTAATTTATCAAACACAAAAAAAAGTTTGAGTGGAGGGTTATGAGGGGGGGTGTTACATTCTACTGGGATAGATTTATTTTATTCATTTTATTAGTATTAAAGATCACTTCATTATAATTCAAAATTATAACCAGGGTGATTGTATTGGGGTCTAAGAAGATGGCAGAAAAAAGACTATATAGTATAAGAAGATAATCAGAATCTTTAAATATCTAAAAAGGGCAACCCGCGCCGTATCTCCCCTCCCCTTCATCTAACTTATACAAAAAGATGAACACTTATCCAGCAATCCAACAACTTATGACATTTCTAATCCATGTAAAAGAATTGATTGGCTGAAATACATATTCAGGACAGAGATGCAATATCGTACATCTTCCACTTTGCAACACTTTCTGACAAGCCATCCCTTCCCTGATACTTACGATGTCATTGTATTCTTGAACCTGTCTCTTGATCTTGGAGGTGTCTTTCCATGATACAAAATCTTCCATGTTTCTGAAACAAACAAAAAGGCATTCCCTTAGCTCAGTTGGTATTAAGTTAGACTACAACATAACAAAGGGGATGGTGGCCCTGGTACGAATTGCAGACGTAGAATTCTTCTACTAGATCTAGATTTTCTTACAAATTGTAAATGTTTTAAGGCTCATCAGCACAATTTACATCATTTAGGAACAAGTGGAAGGTAAAGGCAGAAATAGATGCTGGAATTTGATTTATGTTTTAGTTTAAGTAGATGTCAGACTTTTACAGCACTTACTTGCAACACTAATAGGTCATATACATGCTGAGGATTAAAAGGTCACTAGAGAGTAACACACTAAGAAAGTAGTAAGTTTGTTTGTTTTTTTAAGTAAGAGTTTTACGGCACTTGCAACACAATAAGGTCGTATAAGTGGCGAAGGTTAGAGGTGTTACAAGAGAGTAACAAACACAAAAAAGAAGGAGGGGAGATCAGGACGATAGATGTTTAATAGGAAAAAAGAAGCAAACCACACGAGAGCACCCGCCAACCAACCATAAAAGTAGGAAAGATTAGGATAATAGATGTTTGGTCCAAAAAAATAATAATAAATTTTTTTAAAAGCAAATCACACCAGAGCAGCCGCCAACCACCCACTTGCACAACTCACCTTGTCACCAGATAGGCTGGGTCGTCCACCACATGAGGACCAACACGCACGTCTAGGGGGAGTTAAGGGGGAACAACACAACGATAGGCTAATTACTGACATAAATATTAGACACATCAATTTATTTTAAAATCTGGAAATCTTGAGAGGCTGCCACATTTTCATTTAGCATTCAGGACTTCACATGAACAAACTTGGCACGAAAAGGGATGTCGTGGAAGTCAAGACAAGATACCCACTCAAGAAGAGCCAAATACTACTACCTGCTACGCTACAAGGGAGCAAACCACCCTGCATGGGGCGGGAACTATTTGCCAATATTACGTCCCTTGTCTAATCTCTCAATGCATTGACGAATGAGTGAATTCACTTCTTTTTTTTTTTTTAATCAAATACACGGGCCTATGCTCACAGTGGAGTCAACTTCAATCGGGATCAACGGGACCACAGGTTTTACTTCGGTTTAGCCGTGGGCCCGTGTTTTCAGTTTGGACAGATTGCTCAAATAGGAGAATGGAAATCATGAGATTTTTATCTTTTCTCAGTAAAACGCTACTGTTTGCGGACTAAGCATGTTTGGAGCCCACAGTAGGCTGCATTGCTGCAGTGTGAGTAAATCGTTTAATTCTCCCAATAAAATTAATGCTTCACAAGACTTCGAAGTCACTTGACACCCTGTCCGTATTGCTCGGAGAAAAAAAATTAAAGGAAAGGAAAGAAAAGAAAAGGAAAGGAAAGGAAAGAAAAGAAAAGAAAAGAAAAGGAAAGGAAAGGAAAGGAAAGGAAAGGAAAGAAAAGAAAAGAAAAGAAAGGAAAGGAAAGGACAGAAGAAAGAAATGAAAAAAAAAGAAAACTAAAGAAAAATGTATCTCTGATGAAGTGCGTTTATCAAAAGGATACGTCCTTGCTCAATGAATGTGGTGGCTGCCTTCAGTGTCTCCGCCATGTGGTTCCGCACCATCAGAACCGGCAGTCGTCTCCTGGGGACAAATATTGTTTGGTTTAGTTTTAGTTTTAGTGAGAGAGGGGGTATGAGAGAGAGAGAGAGAGAGAGAGAGAGAGACGG